CAAATATGGTGTTGCTATTTTGTATTTTTTGCATCAAACAAATAGTGCTGCGGTTTTGTTTATGCGATGAATGAACGAAAATTGTAGCAGAATGCATTCCGTGACTCAACATTCGCAATACACATATTTCTCGTAAAAAACTTTATTGGAATATTCGTTGCGACAAACTAACTTGTGTATCCAATCTATCAAAAACACTTTTGACTTTTTGGGTTTCGCCCTTCCCGAAAGGGGGACTCTTCACCTCATCTATCTTACTTTTGGAGGATTCTGCCTCGAAAAAAGAATAAACTTCTTCGAATGGAAGGTTGTCCACCTCTATCCCTAGCACGGGATTCCACCTTAATCTCGACCATTGGGGCGATAATGGTTTGATTTTGTTCTATCATTTGCATAGTGCTCGTGAGGCAAGCGCTCTATAGCCTCTTTGAGGCAATGAGTTGGTGGTGTCCAACTTCAGTGAAATTATTTTCTGTTTGGAGTTTCGTGGATATCTACCTCATTGGGATTGGCAAGAGAATGCTTTATCTTTATATGAAGGTGCATCTTCCTTGAGAAACTTCGCAAAACATAATGTTATCGGATAAAATAGTATTTTCTGTTGCCAATGCTTAAAATCTAACCTATTCAATTTCTCAAATTTTTCTTCGATCGGATTAGAGAGTGAGTGGATTATTGAATGTAGTCATTTCTTATACACAATCAGAAGATAAATGAATAAGGAGTAGAAGTACAATAAATTAAAAAATTAAAAAAAAATCATCATAAGATTATTATATCTGGAGTATCATTTTCTTCTTCAAATAATTTAAAGATACTTACACTTGCAAATTATCGAAACAGGTTTGAACAGAGTAACAAGATGATTGACATGATCAAAATTTTAATTCGAGAACACGGACTTCAAGATATGTCCTTAAGACGAAATTACTCCCTTCTATGGTGCTTAAAGACAGTCAACAATCGTCTCCCAGGACAAAATGAATTTTGTCTCTTTTGGAAGAAACACAATAATCAACAAGAGTTTGACGAACTCAATATTGTGTTTCATACTTGAAAAATAGTATCAGAATTTAGAGAGAGAAGTGATATTTAAAACAAGAAAGTTTGTAATACAAATTTTGTAAGTTTTCTAATAGAAATGAAAACATTTATAACTCATTCGTGGTCATTCGAACACTATACAATCATTTTCAGAACAATAATGATTGTTTAGACAACCTTTCAAAAGTGAACAAACAACTGTGTTTAGATCAAAATCATGCATCTATTATAGTCGGTAAATAGGTGCATGTTACCGAAATATACCATTATAAATAATTTCACTAAATATAATTTGGCCCAAAAAAATATATGTAAGGCAATGACCCACCCAAATTGGACTTGTACCGAGCCAGTAGGCTGGACAAAGGCAGCGGTGTGTGCATGCGCGTTTGCATGTGCGTGTGGACTTTGGACCGAACTCAATAAAATCTAGATCTCTCCATTTCAAAGACTAGTGGTATCTTTGGGGCCTAAATTCAATTGTCTAACTTCCATCACATAAACCAAACAATTGTTTTCCTTAGGTTTCCTATATGGGACAAAAGTTTAAGCAATTTCAATTAAATTATCCACTTTTCCAAGTTTCAAGTGGGTAACTTAGATATCAAAAATTTCATGGTTAAATTATATATATATTATGTTAGTTATCTTTTGGAGTAGAAAATGAATATGATTAGTCCCATTAATTTTGAAGTATGAGTCCCATTGAAATTTGAGCTCCAAGTTGACCCATGCTACTAATTTATTGAACCATTTACAACAATAAATTTAACACATCCTGAAACTAGATGTCCGAATTAGGTCGAAACTTGGAGGACCTCGTAATCCTCGCCCAAACCAACACAAAAGGGATGAAAAGGATTCATCAAATCTACTGCTACAAGTTCCATATTGCGATGAAATCTGCATAGCTGTATCGCCGCAATCTCCACGGTCAAGGACTCGCTAACGTCGTAAAAGTTTTGTTCTCGTCACGTAGTAATAATGCCCCACTAGAACATTATGTAAGTATTGTGTCATAAGTCCAATCAACTTTGGATATAAACACTTTTAATATATAATTGATGCATATTTATGGCTAGATCTATTATTTAATTGAATTAATATTATAATAAATTAAATAATTCTAACTTCCATCACATAAACCAAACAATTGTTTTCCTTAGGTTTCCTATATGGGACAAAAGTTTAAGCAATTTCAATTAAATTATCCACTTTTCCAAGTTTCAAGTGGGTAACTTAGATATCAAAAATTTCATGGTCAACTTATATATATATTATGTTAGTTATCTTTTGGAGTAGAAAATGAATATGATTAGTCCCATTAATTTTGAAGTATGAGTCCCACTGAAATTTGAGCTCAAAGTTGACCCATGCTACTAATTTATTGAACCATTTACAACAATAAATTTAACACATCCTGAAACTAGATGTCTGAATTAGGTCGAAACTTGGAGGACCTCGTAATCCTCGCCCAAACCAACACAAAAGGGATGAAAAGGATTCATCAAATCTACTGCTACAAGTTCCATATTGCGATGAAATCTGCATAGCTGTAACGCCGCAGTCTCCACGGTCAAGGACTCGCTAACGTCGTAAAAGTTTTGTTCTCGTCACGTAGTAATAATGCCCCACTAGAACATTATGTAAGTATTGTGCCCTAAGTCCAATCAACTTTGGATATAAACACTTTAATATATAATTGATGCATATTTATGGCTAGATCTATTATTTAATTGAATTAATATTATAATAAACTAAATAATAGAATCTGTAGATTCAAGTTTTGGTGATTTGTTAATCAAAAGCAGTTGTGATTGTGAGATACAAATTACAAATGATCNCTGAATTTTAAATCATTCATAATCGAAAGTAATTACGAGATACGGATATCGTTATTAAGGATAAACCATCTTGTGTTGCATTTCTTACTTGTGAAGTAAGTAGCTCATCTCACAAGTTAAAGTGTGATGAAACTTAAATGAATACGTGGATGTTTTATTATAGAACAAAATATTGGAGACCCGCTGGGGAAATTTCACATGATTAACTATTTGAGTATCAGTGGATGATCTCTAACGTTCGGTAGTGAAATTGGTCACTTAACTTGAGTTCATCATAGTGCCTTATATAAGGACAATCATACTTTGATGATATTGGATGTTACTCTGCCAAGAGTCGCTAATGCGGCATCATTCGTGTATGTCAATAATCATAAGAAGATTGTGAATGATCAATAGAAGATTCGTCACTTTTAGATAGTAAGAAATTATGATTTACATTTCATTCAATTCTTGGCAAGGTGTACTCATAAGTCGAAAATTCCATTTTTGACTTACATTAACTTAATAGTGGGATGAAAGATATGACTGATAATTGAGATTGACACACATCCATATTTCGTCATTGATCGGATCATACTGACAAAGGGATTATAGTTTCACGATAAACGAATAAGTTTGGTTTTGTCATACCACGTGATATTTTCCATCACATGTATTGCTCTAACACATTGTTAGATGTCAATCTGGGACGACGGATTTGAAATGATGATAAATTAAAAAGTGGTATTTTAATTTATTGATTTTGATAAGATCAAAATAATAATTCACGTCGTTCGGCATCGTGATCGGGAACCTAATGGGTCACACACAAAAGAGAATCAGAAGAATGAGATTTACCAATTAATTAATTGACAAGTGTTTTGATAAGATCAAAATAATAATTCACATTGCTAGGTGTCGTCATTGAGAACTTGATGAGTCGCACACAAAAGTAGAACCAGAATAATGAAATTCCAATTCATTAATTAACAATGTTTTACAATTAATTAATTGGGTTGCTTGTTAATAGGCTCGAATCAATTAATTCATGAGCCAAATTTAATTAATTAAATATTGGACCGGATTAAGTTTAAGATACGGGTCAAGCCCACTTTGACTTATATTAGTAAACCATTAGGGTTTCAGAAAAGAATAGAACAGAATTCATATTCTTGCTAGCACAAGAAAAAAGAAACTCGAATTTTCTCATTTTTGTTCCCTGTATGGATTTTCATTAGATGTTGGACAATTAGACAGCTATGTATTGCAAATCGTGATTATTCGTGTTCTAAAATCAGCAAACAAGTTTGCAAAATCTACAAAAGGTACAATTTCTATCACGGTCTCTTTTTAAACACAAAGAAGATCCTTAATGGGAATTGAAATTTGTTTTATTTTTCACTATGCATGTTAAGTAAATTCTCAACACATCATCAGCATCAGGCTGCCTCCTCATTGGCTTAACAACAAAAGTGTTGATAGGCTTGGATACCAAATGGTGTAAATGCGAAAACGAACTGAGAGAGACACGAGAAGAATTATTGAAAAGTTCAATGTCATTGATTCAATTTAGTATTCAAGGTCCCATAGGATGAATGTTGGAATTGGTGTTACAACACTTCCACATGAAGTTCAAGTGGCGAGAAGATCTAAACACGAAACCAACAAAATAAAATGCAACATGGTTTTCTCAAGCAAATTAAAAGGTAACATAACAAACTCCATATAAAGATGGTGCTGAAGTTGAAGTCATGACTCTTTGACGATCTTGGTTAAGTCACAGAACTTGTGTAAATGTGGACGCAAGATTCGTAGCTGCATCAGAGGGAACTTGGAAGAATCTCACTGAGAAGTTCCCTAAAATTGAGTTAATTATATATGAATCTAAGTGTGTCCCCCTATTTGTGCTAGAACTGACTAGGGTTGCACACATCAACTAAATATATGACTAAGCTAACGTGTCCACGACATGTCCATACAACTATAACCAACAAAAACAGTACGACTCTACGAAGCAAAATACAAGTACATCATCGAAGTTACACAAACTACAATACAATTTTAACAAACACAAGTTGTTTCATCATTGAAGTTTTGGCCATCCTAAAAGCGTTCCCGTTTTAGTCTGTTTCTTCATCCTCTGGATGAACCTGAAAAGTATAACATCCAAAAATCATTAGCCATTATTCTTTTCAGCTTCATTAAATTATGTTTTTACTTAAAACTGATTCCTCATTAATTCATTGAGCATATATACATGTATTGTCTTTGAAGTTTTTGCGCATGGCATATCATCATGAATGGAAGAAAGTTCTATTAGTTTTTTCGTACCTGGGGGCTTTTTTTCCTCTCTGAAACTCATTGTTCTCAGCTTCAGTTCTCCTCTACTGGTTGTCAGTTCATCCAATATTTCAGCATCACAAATTTTCTCTTCACCTCCATTCCCATTATGAGTTCCCTCATTTTCCTGATAACAGCATAATTAATACGCTGTAAATCAGTTCAATTCTGATGGATCCTATTTGGGCACGATTTATGGCCTGATTCTAGTACTTTTGTCGTCTATGCTCATGGATGTATGCTTTAGACTTTGTTGTGTTGAATTGTGCTAATTTGTGTATCATTTTGTTTCCCGTTCTTGGCGTGTTTGATAATTATCATAGAAAATATTGACATTTAGGCATACATACCGTGAAAGAAAGACTACGTGAATGTTGTGGAGCTCCAGCAATTTCCTCGTACTCGGCAGCGTCGAGCTCACACAGATGATGAGGCTGAAACAGCTTGGGAAGAAAATGCTGTCTTATGCTTAAGAGAAGAAAAAAAGGCAATGGAAAGAGAATTCCAGCTATAGGAATCCAAGTCACTCCTAAGCATATAAGTAAATATACAATCTGAAACACTGTGAAGATTGCAATATATCTGAATGGCACTGACTCCACAAATGACGCATGAACTCCCTCGACAACCCTGCCAAAATTATCAAACAAGTCAACAAGGTTCTGAAACAATAAATAAATAAAATAATAAATTTTATATTAGCTATCCATAATTGAAACTATAATTCTATGGCTAGAATTCGGTGAGTAATATGAATCAGGAACTTACTTGTAACGTCGGTTTGGGGCAATGAAAAGGAGCAAAATCCTTTCCCAGCATTGATTTCCAGGGAGGCTGTCAATAGCCATATAGGCAAAATAACCCCAAAGAACTGATGTTGGTATCAACTTAATCACAGGCATGGCACATACTGATGCTGCAACAAGTAGTGATTGCAACAGATTGCTCACTCTTTGCTCATTTACGCGAACTGGCAAGTATTCATCAATATGTTTTTCGGGATCAAATTTGTCCTTTGTTTGTTCTCCATTGTTTTCATCTTTCATTACTGCCTCTTTCAAATTTTCCAGCTCTTTAACCACTGAAGTTGCCTGCAATAGGGTACTTCAATATCATTTTCGAAGAATTTGAGTGGTAAATTTACTTGAATCGGAAATAAATTCAAGTGGAGACTTACATTAACTGGAGATTTGTCTATCTCTATGAAAACAGCTTGCATCTCACCATAGATTTCAGAATCGGAAGCTTTACACTTTATACTTTCCTTAGCACTTTCAATCATCTTCCTCCGTATCAACTGCTAACCAAAAGTAGAATCTTAGGCATCCGAACAGTCACATTACTGCGAAACATATTTTGTTTTCTGTTTGGCACACAAACCTGTCTTTTAAGAACTGCTAGGCTTTTTGTATGCATTGGAGATTGTGGCAAGACTCCATTTGAAGGAGGCAACCCAATCAAACCGCAAAACAAAGTCTGAGAACATCATACCAATGCAAGTACTTATGAGACTAGATGAGTTTAAATTGAAATAAAAGGAATCAGTGACAAAAATAAACTATGGCATACCATAAATCCAAGCAATAAGATGTCATAATGATAGGCAGAGGGGTTCTTAATATTGAATTCCTTTTGTTGCGCCAATTGCGATGCAACACTATGATCGAAAAAATAGAGTCCAGCTATCATTACAGCCGGGACGATGGCAGCAAAGATATAGATTGGAGGAACCTTCCCCATATCCTGCACATTTAGCATGAGAAAGTGAATGTTTTACCAGAACTCGAAATATAATTACTTGAACAGTTTTGGCTCATTTAGAAAGGTGTATTATAGAGTACTGGACAGTAATAAAGAAGAAAAATAAACTATAATCTCCTCCATTATAATGGACATTCTTGTAGAGTACTATGTACGTAACATGCACTTTATGAATAGGATACTTCTGTTTAGTATTTGATGTACCTTGATTACAGTCCAGTGGTATACAGATACAGATTGCCATGGAAGGGGACTAAAAAGCCTTCTAGGAATGCCAGATGGTACATTCTTTGATATGCCAAATGACATTGCTGTCCACACTAAGACCATTAGAGGCACCCCATAGTCTGCAATGAAGCTTCTAAGCCAACCTGTTTCAGAAATGGTTGTTACATTTCAGATTTCAGATTTACTCAGCTCTAAATGAATCAACAACATGTTAACACTACAAACCTGTGCCATACCACCATGATCTTGCTCTTCTGCTTTTTAAGGAGGTGTAGAAAAGACCAAATGAAAAGATAACTCCAAGTAAACCATTTGTGTAAAGCCAATGGAACCGGTACTTCTCCAAATTGGAGTCCTCAGATTTTGGGATTTTAAACTCACTAACAATTCCCTATCAAATGAATCAAAAACAGAAAAAATTAAAAATCATCCCATGAGAGCTTCAAAATCTGACTATCTCGGAATTACGTGTTGTTAGAATATGACCCAGATTCTTATTTGGATTAGATTTTGGTTGATTGATTGATAAAGGAGGCATAAACAATTTTGGTCTGGAAGTCCCATTTGATAAAGGATCAAATTTCATCTAGGTTGAGAGTTCGATTAAGAAAAAGATTTTGGAACAAAGAAAAACACCTTTGGAAGGTGTTGTAGCCAAAACAGGGCGTGGCCGGGCACCATCTGGGTGGCGCCAAGGTACTACCTATTCGGGTAGAATCCGATTATGGTATTCTAGTTCATTCAAAACACCGAAATTGGACTCCTATATATACTCCACATGGTTTGGTCTCCAAAGATAGGCTTAGAGGCATAGCTAAATATTGTATAGAATTGAGAGAACATCAAAGTGAGGGGATCTAGGTTATAGAGAGAGACTCGCATATTTTGAGATAGTTTGAGAGTCTTACGAAATATTTTATGTACCACTTTGTTATTGATCATAGTGAATTCTCCGTTTCCACTCGTGGGTTTCCCGAATTTGGGTTTTCACGTAAATCTTGTATTTGTGTGTGATTCTTTTCATCTTGTCATATTTGCTTGACTTTAATATTCATAACAAGTGGTATAAGTTGTATCACCGGATATTACAAATTGGCTTGTTTTCTAACACTTGTTTTAGTACCTTAATTGCCTCTTGAATGAATAGAAGAGCAATCAACATGCCAAAAGTTTCCCCGGCAATTCTTGTAAATCTATTCATGATTTTACAAGCATTGAATATTGCAAGAAGAAACAAGAATAAAGCTGTCCACACACAAACCCTGCAACCAGAAAAAAACAGAGTAAAAAAAAATGATCATTGTAATATCAAGATTATAAATTCTTCCAGAGCAAAAATTTGCATATCAAAAGAAAACTTATAATACCATCCAGCCCAAGCCAAGTAGAGATTTTGTCCCAATTCTTCTCTTCCTTTGGCAAATTTGTAGAGATAAGTGTACATTATGATAGTTGGTTCTGCAACGCCTAATATCAGCAGAGGTTGACCGCCAAATATCGAGTGTATGATACCACAAATTGCAGTTGATGCCAAGGTTTCTACTGTGCTCAAGCTCCCATCTACAATGCAATAAAACAGTACAAACTCGTAATTCTTATAAGCATATGTGATGTATTTTCCTTTCGAAAAATTTTCATCTATAATGTCTTTAACTGCATCCCACATCACTGAATTAAGGCTTATCTTTTGGCATATAATCAAGCACCCTTCCTCATAAACTTGTTTTAACTAATTGAGTTGTAACAATCCATATGAGAACGTATTTTTGAAAATGCTCTCTATGCCACGGGGTAACCTAAGAGGGCTACTTCAAGTAGAAGACTGCTTCCATGAAGTCGACTAGCTAGAAATATGTGCACATATAAAAAGAGGGTGGTTTGTAATGATTCTAATATGCGTCCCACATCGCTAAGTCAACGATTGGTTTTGTGCGATTATAACCGCTTTGATATCCTCTAGAAATGTAGTTGTAACACCTCTAAAACTAAATTATGGAATTGGCAGTTAAAAACAGTACCAGTATCTCTGCTTATTTGCTCTCCAAATGCAATCACAGGAAGAGCAGAGGCAAAAAAGATATATGTAGTTGGAGCCAATATCCTGGTACATATGAAACGGAAGCTTATTAAATTTACATTTTTCTGTGTTCCTTTTACTAAAAACAGTTTCAATGGAAGAGATTATATACCCAATTCCAGAATGAATTCCGGTCATCCAATCTTGCTTATAACAAGATAGTCTGCCCTGAAAATCTTTCGCAATTCCTCGGAATGGAGCTTCCATTTTATGCCGATAGCCAAGAACAACAGTCAACTCTAACCAAGAACAAATGGAACATAATCAATTCAATGGTTCTTGAATGAAGAAAATTTAGTGTAAAATGTACAAGATAATTGTCACTCCCTAGGCAAAGGAAAATACCAGGAAAAGTTTGCAAGAAACTTTCCAGCTTGTAGTGTTTTCTTGCTTCACGACTGTTTAATATACTAGCGGTTGATAGTGATCATTTTGGCAAAATTTCTTAGAAACGCCCGCGCCAAGACTAGAGGGATTCAGTGGAAACCACGTACTTTGAGAAATCTACAACTGGCCAAGTGCCACCAATCAAGAAGAGGGAAAAAAAAAAAAAAAACACTAAGTCCAGATTATTCTGCAGCGCATATAAACCTGTCATTCAGGACGTACATTAACATGGTGGGTAGCCTTCGTGCAAACAAATTCAAAGCTCAATTTGAACATAATATATAGTTTATCTTTTAGTTGAAGATTGGAGATAGAATGATGTATTTGTTTACTTTTGTTGTTTAATTTGCTTCGTCTTGTATCAGATGTATTGTATCTTAGGATTTTCATCTTAAAAAGGTTAGTTAAGATTGTAGCTCGTTTCAGCGCACTAATTTTGAAATCTTTGTACTTGTTTGAGGTTGATGGACTATTATATCATGTTTGTCTTGAAATTCTATCTTAAAAGATCAATTTTATTAAAAAGAGTAATATGTTAATTATAATTTTGATAATTATTCGACCTCCCGTAAAAGATAGTACGTCGAAAACTACTTCTTACCCTCTTAAATTTGAAGACACTAGGGTCTAATGTCTCCTCCTTAATGTCTACATGTGTATACCTCTAGACACATACGGTGCTAGAAAAAAACAACGCAATCTACACAAGATGTTGCTGATAATTTTATTTCTAAAAAATTACAAAATTTTACATGATTAAAAGATGGGTTCGTCGCTAAGTTATAGGCATGGTCTCAAATGGTTCGTGATCTTTAAAATATTAATGTTTGGTAACTAAACTTTAAAATGTTTACCCCATTAGTCACCATCAATCCATCAAATGTTATGCACCCAATGTTATAAAAGTTTGTCTTAATACTTGCACTCTATTTTTACATTTAGGATAGACCATGTTAGTATCCGATGCTCCCTCTCTCTCCCTCCTAATCAATTTTTCTTGTACTCTATATGAACTTTTCTTAGGAGGCATGCCGATGATCTATCCATTAATATTCTTACATCCCGTTACAACTATACATCTAGCTGATTTTTCATCCCGTAGTGTCATATTCATTTCATATGATCTAACACCATATTCCTTGACAGAATATAATCAACTTTTACTTTATATCTCAATTGTTAAATCATGTAACGTGTATTTATTGATAGGTCAAAATAATGTGAGGATGGCAAAATAGCGTAACACCTTTTCTTCCCGAGTTGCTTAGTCCAGAATGGGGCTGAGATTCCGTGAGTAGAAAAAACAATTGTCCTTGCAAGTTATAAATATCTTAGACTATATACTTGTACTGGTCATTTTACTGCAACACGTGTTGTGCTCCTAGTGGAGTTCGCCACAACTTTTTCTTTCTACTTTTGTTGAAGGGTTGTCACTTGTCTCACCTCCTAACGATGTGCACATGAATTGAATTTTTGAGTTTGAGACATTTCTATGCGGAACCTTTGGGCATTTTATGTACCTGTGGTCCTAATTTTCACAATAACTATGTACACGTGAATTGAATTTTTGAGTTTGTTTACTTTTCTTGGGAATTTTTTTATGGACACATGGGCTTTTAGTGCATTTTGGCAACTCAAATGTGAATTTTTAAGCATTTACTATTGAAACAAGAAAGTTGTGTTTTTGTTTCATTTAAAAGATAACGAGGTTGTTAGGTGAAGTTGAATTTGTTGTCGCCACACAATTGAGAATAAATTGAAGACTTGCTTCAACATTCATGATTGTTGACCATGATTTTTACAAGGATGCACCTAAGCTTTTTTTTTTTTTTTTCCTAGAGACTTGAACAAATCGTAAATCGCACATGACCTTCTCCGGTGAGGGGAAAGGCGACCGCAAGCATTCCAACGGTTAAGTCAGTCAGGGATAATAGTTTATTAGATGTGGGACGTGCTAAAGAAGTGAGCCGCTAAGTAAGAAGGATCGGATGCGGAAGTGTATGTAAAGGGAGTGATGAGTGCAAGTTTACAGTTTGAGTGTATAAAATTACATTACCTTCTAATGGCACCAAGTGTGAGGTTTTATTGTAGAAGAGGTGAAATTCTGACCGTTGGATGGAAAGACATGTGGTTTCATCCTAATGGTCAAAGTGTCCTCTCTTAAGCTTCAATTTATTTATCATAGGTTGGATGGCCTTTAATGTTTCCAAAAAATAGCCACCCTTGCTTATATTTGATCTTTGAATCATAGGCTAACAACTTTACCTTTAGGTGTCTGCTGCAAAAATGTTACATCAATCAATTATGTGAGGATCTTGAGCAAAAGATCTCTGAGAAGATGTGCTATGAGAAAATATATCTTGATCGTTGCCTTTTTCTAAAGAAATGTATATTTAAAAAATTGTTTACAAAATATATCTTGATCGTTGCCTTTTTAAAGATTGAGTTTTGTTTATTAAACCTAATTATATACACACATTTTGTAAACAATTTTTTAAATATACACTTTCCAAAATATTTTTTTTAAAATTAAAAAAAAAAAAAGATAAACAATCCTCCTTTATCCGGGATTGGGACAGGCAACTACAATTTCGTGAAGGCGGAGTTAAAATTGTACCCAAAAAACTTTTTACGTGTACAAATTTTTAAAAAAATTATAAATGTATGTTATAAAGGTATAAAAATAAAATTTTATGATGAATACAGTGAAATTAAATATCACTTACTTGTTTACATGCAATTTTGACATATTTATTTTGAATTCGATAATTAGAGTCTTTCTAATCCTTCACGCACATTAATACTTCCAAAATATCTTCTTCCCAGTCTTTGGTTTATGGAAGGAAGTCCATCGACCAAACGACCAGTCTAAACCAATTTAAAATGATCACAACATTTTGCCTGCTTCTTCCCCTTTCTCTTTCCTCTTGCATCGGGAATATTTAATATAGGTTTTTCATCTTGTTCCAAATCAATTGGAATACTAGGATCAACATCAACGTCATCCAAATCAATTGGATGACTACCTTTGTGAACGTCAAAATCTTGAATGTTTTTTTGTGGTAATTCATTGAAACTAGCAAATTCATTCCCAAATTGACTTTGGGCAGGTGTTTCGCATTCCATATCGAACAAGTTTTCAACAAACGATCGTGGATCCATTTGTGAGTAATAGAAATTGAATGTTGAAGACTTGAAATAGAATGTAGAAATGTAGAATTAATAAGTAAATGAAAATTATGTAGTAGTGTATAAAATGAATTGCAAAATCAAGATAATAATGTAAAAAAAATGTAGAAGATGATTATAGAATGAATGAATGATATTGTTGATAATGATTTGTAGATAATAGAGAGTAGAGTAGAGTAGAGAATGAGATATTGATAGTAAGTTTGGTAGGGAAAAAAATGTCGTAATAGGTGGGTATTTTTCAGTGACCATTCTTGTCGCCTTTTTATATATATTTTTGATACGAGCCACGAGCCGAGCAACTCGTGGCTCGCAATAAAAGACGAGTGGGCTCGTCGAAATGAGCGGCTCGTCTAATGGACGAGTCGAGCCTGCTCGGACTCATTTTTGGCAAACCTCTCGGCTCGATTGGCACCACGACTTACATGTGGCCTCACCTAGGCCAAGTAGGAGGATAATGTGAAATGTGGGCCTGGTTAGCTTACCAACTAGCTGCCACATGGTGGTGATTTGGAACCTCATCAAGAAGGGGAGTAACAATAGTCTCCTAAATTCATATATAGATATTCATATAATGCGTGGACTTTCAGTATAAGGTGGAAGTGAATTACTTGTCGAGGTGATGCATTGGTGTGGAGCATTTTACCTTCTTTTGACAATGTGATAGTAGTGTGTTTGAACATAACATAGTAGTTCTCTAAGTCAAGGCATGGATATTTATATAATGCGTGGAATTTAAGGCATAGCAATGAGTTTAATACCTCGTGTGGCACATTATGCAAGCGATGCAAAGGTAAAATCCTTACTTGAGGGTGAGGCACTGAAAGATATGAAGCTTGAAGAAAGCTGGTAAGTAAAGACGAGGTCCTTGCATGAGGACGAGGCTATGAAAGATAGGCAACTTGAAAAATTTATACGTCACAATTTATTCATCGGTCACAAATCTATCGAATTAATAACTCACATATTTTCCATTGGTCACAAATCACAAATATTATAAGTCGCAATTTATCAGACAGTCACAAATTTTCAAATTATCGATCACAAATTAACTATTGTTTAGGTCACACATTATTTCTTGGTCACAATTTATCTTTTTCATTACTCACATATTGTTCATTGTCACACACCAACCAATTTTTTAGTCACAATTGGTCACGTATTGTTTATTGGTCACATACCAGCTAATTTATTGGTGAAAACAATTTGTGACCACCACCTCTGCCTGACCGCCTCTAGTAGCACAACCACCAACGCCGCATGTACCACCACCACCACAATCACCACAACCACCATCTACACTTTTCCCCACCTTAACCACCATCTCCACCACACTGTGCCACCACCACAAACCAAAAAATCCCCAAACCTACCATCATTGTTGTCACCATCGCCGCCACGACGACCACCAATAGTGTCACTGCAATCACCACCATCTCCATCGCAGCCATCACCACAACTACCTCTCCTCTATCTTCGTCCCAACCACACCGCAACCGCCAACCTCACTAAAAAATCCCCAAACTGCCACCACCACCACGACCACCACCAACTCACGACCACCACAGCAGCCACCAACAACCGCCAAAATCAGCACCACCACAGCCACCCCAAAAACCGCAAACAAAATA